GCTTTGGCCTTCATAAATTGGGAAATAAAAGAGTTTTCTCCTATTTATTTAAGAATAATTTTGATAATTATTAACCTCATTTAAATTATTAATCTCAGGCATAATATTTTTCTTAGTCTTGGTAGAAACCCAAGACTTAATATTGTCCTTATTATTAATCCAAATATGAAACTAATCATAAGGTCGTCTAGATTTTCAGATAGAAAAATTCTCCCTATCAATAATATCATTTTTCCCGATCAATAATATCATTTTTTCCCTAGATAATTAGGGAATAGAAAATTGTGAATAGGGATACCTCCTAGTATATTAAAAAATTTCCTTTTATCTGTGTTGGAATTATAAAAAATCTCTTCGCTATTATTTATTTGTAATGGTGACCCATAAATATATGAGTCTTTTTTGTCTTCATTATCCTCCTTATTAATAGATTTATACAAGAAAGAATTATATCATAAGGTTTTTGAAAATTCAATTTTTTATATTTTTGATTCATTAATGAGTCTACATTAAAATCATTTTCTTTTATGTAATGAATTATTTTTTCTTTTTCATATGAACTCTCTTTGTTTAAATCTTTATTTTGAACCATACGGTGCTAATTGATGCTATTTCACCATTTTTCTTGCACTAATTTAAACCATCTAATATGAGATAAATCATATTAATAATGAGTCTTTAACAAGTTTTTCCATTCATTCATTCCAGAATGTAAATAATTAATTTCATTTGGTTTGTGATCATTTTTATTTTTATTTTTATTTTTTTGGAAGCTGATCATTTTCAGGTTTTAAACCCAAATTTTGGACATGCTTTATTTAGTATTTTTATACTTATTTTTATAGAAAATATTTTATATAAATTAAATTACACTAAATTATACAAAACTAACTATTAAATTAAGGATAAATTCTCTTACACTAGAGATAATTCTCATCTAATAGTTCTAGACTCGCAATCCAAAATACCAAGAACTCTTATTTTTATATGCTTTGTTCTTCATTGAACATCATTAAAAAGAAATAGGCTCAAAAATGACAAAAAGGAAGAAAAGAGGGAGCAAACTTTTCCCACCAATCACATTTCTAGGGAAAGTCTTTTAAGTTAATATTTCCTGATAATTATATACCATGTTATTTAGTTTTTTCTTTTTAAAATCTTAACATTTTATCTAGTTCTTTTTAAATGTTAAATCTCAACTTAAGGAGGCCAGGGGAATTGTTAGAACCCATATTTAGGTTACTGACATTGAAGGTAAAGATGATATGCATAGCATTGTGCATTTGCGGCCTATAATGTTGCAATTTAATACATGTTATGTACATTGGTCCAGTCATACATACTGATTGATGGCTGCACTCCTAAACACTTCGTATAACACATGATATAACCTAAATACTTGGACTTGTATTCCAAGAGAAATGTCAAAGTTTCTGGTAGTAACGCGTAACATTGATCATTTTTTTTTCCAATACTGTTTCTTCCAAGTAATTTCCGATGACAATGAGCGCTGAGAAAAGTCACGGGGATTAACAGTCTCATATACATGTGTCTAAGCCATTGACTATTATCTACTCGAGGGGGATGTGAGATGTTGCCTGTTTGTCATTATCGTCTGTCTGGATTTGTCGAATGATGAACAATTTGTTGGTTCACACACTTTATCTAGTTCTTTTTAAATGTTAAGTCTCAACTTAAAGAGGATAAGATTGAGCCAGGGGAACTGTTAGAACCCATATTTAGGTTATTGACGTTGAAGGTACAGATGATATGCATTGCATTGCGCATTTACGGCCTATAATGTTGCAATTTAATATATGTTATGTACATTGGTCCACTCATACACACTGACATTGACGGCTGCACTCCTAAACACTTGAACTCCGTATAACACATGATATAACCTAAATACTTGGACTTGTATTCCAAGAGAAATGTCAAATTTTCTGGTAGTAACACGTAACATTGATCATTTTTTTTTCCAATACGGTTTCTTCCAAGTAATTTCCGATGACAATATATGAACGCTTTGAGAAAAGTCAAGGGGATTAACAGTCTCATATACGCGTGCTAAGCCATTGACTATTATCTACCCGAAGGGGATGTGGGATGTTGCCTGTTTATCATTATCTTCTGTCTGGATTTGTCGAATGATGAACAATTTGTTGGTTCACACTTCACAGTCTGTTTCTTTCTTTTCTGTCTCTTCTCCTTGCTTGGATAAGTAAGTGGTGGGACAGAGACATGAGCTTGGCTGCTACTTAACAGACATCACACTTCTTATCCTTAGCCAGCACAACCAAGCATGGACAGCACAGGCATCGACCTTAAGTTGTTCCATTTAAGCTTCGGTACACTAGCAACGGATCACTGGTCTCTGCCCTACAAAAAATTTTGGATGCTAAAAACATATCTCCATACCTTGATCAAATGCTTTTGCCTTTCTGGTACATTCAGGAGGGTTGGGGAAGCTGTGGGACAAAATCTCAAAATCTCAGACCAGAAACAGAAAGTTAATGAAAAATAATAAGGATATACAAATTATTCTGTTGCAGGGACAAATCATTAGAACCTCTGCCTAATGGGAATTACCAAATACAGAAGGACTGCAGAGTATACAACCACCTACACTTTCAAATGAACTGCAGACTTCCTGCTGCTGAAAAACATAATTTACGTTATTATACATATGGGAAAAGGCAATAATAATACATTTCTAAATCCTATTTTTTGTATAACATTGGGTATAGAAATTTTAAAAGAATGCTCTGTTGGTACCCAAAATATCATCAGTTCATCACTATGAACTATTTCATGTCTGGACAATTTCGGGGTCATAAGATACTAGAGTAGTCTTCTGACCTCTGAATTTTGGCCACTGGTCAACCATTCCCAAACTTCTAAAGAGTATAACCTTCAGATCAAAATCTGAAAGGTTAGTGGCTCTAGCACAGTAAATCCCATTAGTTGAGGTTAAGCTATTTCACATGGTTTCAATGTCAGCTAACCTCTGGCTGCAACATTGGGAAAAAAGTCCAGTTGTTTCCAAGCCGAGTTTCTTTCCCAGCAACCTTTTCATTGGCCCACCACTCAGATTTGATGGTGGTTTTATCAGAAGCTTCTCCTTTTGAGCTGTCAAAGTTGAATTCTTTGATTGATCCGAGACTAACAGAACGATGCTTCTGATAGCAATGAGCTTCTTCTGTTTCTCCTGAAGCTTTCTTGAATGTTTCTTCAGAAATTTCCTTCATAGAGAATTCACTACTTCCTTGATCAGTTGACATTCCATTTTCCAACCCAGCATCTGTCACCGTGTTCTTTGGACATTCTGACGTGGTTCTAATAGGTGTGACTGACTTTATTTCAAGACAGCGTGCAACATCTTCACCACTCAACTCAAAAGAGACTCTGTGATCGACTACAATATCATCACCTTTTGATACATTCTCTGCATCGGCAAGAGCTGCTATGTTCAAAATCTGACTGTCCGGAGGAAAACCATCTCGTGAGGCAGGATCAACACCATCTGGTGTCAAACATCCCGAACCCAGCCTTGAACCCAGGCCCATACCATCTGGAGTTAAAGTACCAGAACCAAGCCTTGAACCTTGCCCCAGGCCATCTGGTGTCAATGAACCAGAACCAAGCCTCGAGCCCCATTTGCGAGTAGTGAAATGCTCAAAACCAAAAATTTTTGGAGCCTCCCCCATTCGGAACTCAAGCATAGGGTGTTTATCAGGGAAAGGAGTAGAGGTGCCAGAATTGGAGATTGCAGATCCAGGTGATATGATATTGGCACCAGGGCTCCCTGGGTAGAGTGGATAAGACTGGAAATCATAATGAGATAATCCAAATTTATGATTGGTCCCACTATGTTTTCGAGCACGCTCCAATGACGATGTCAGCAGTTGTGCAAATGGAACCTCAGGGGACGAAGGTGTAGTCAGCTGAACAGATTCAGAAGGTGGAGTAAAAGGAGCAGTGGATGGTTCAGTTGTCAAAGCAGAGAAAACAGGTGGTGTGACTAACTGAGTTTCATGTGCATAAGGACCTATGGCAAAAATGGATGCAGGTCCACGGGGAGAATAGGCATTGACAGAAAGAGAAGTGAGAGATGGTAATCCAGCAGGGGACTGGGTGGCAGATGGAGGATCTGATTGGAGGAATGATGCAGGAGAGGATGGAGGGGCAATAAAGGGTACTACAATGCCAGTTTGATTGACTACATTGTCGGCAATAGGGACTGAAGGTCCTGGTACCACTGGTTCAGGAACAAGGACAGCAGGGCCAATTCTCTTATTGCTTCTATGAGATCCAAAAGTACCAAAACACCAGTAAAGGCGCCAAAAGCTTCCCCATCTTCTCTTCTATAGTCAAAAGAAAGAAGTTTGGCAATCAGTTGTCTCCATAGTCAGAATCCAACTAAAAATTTTTTATCAGCCTTAATGATTCTACCCAAAGGAGCTAAACAACATAGGTGAAGGATTAAATATAACACGAGAAGATTAAAATGAGGAGCATTCTTCAATCCTCACACCTCTCCTCATGCAATGCCCTAGAAGAAGAAATCTATAACTCATGACTAATTCAACTTCTAGTAGTCAAGAACAGCATGCAGATCAAAAGATAAAAAGTATAATCCTAAGCATATGAAGAAAAACAATCCAAAAGACAACATATGGGTTAATCCTCATGGCAGCACATATACTATGAAGAATTAGTAACAGCATTTTCCTTTTCTATATTGTCATAAATAAAACATTAGGAGGCATGGTCCAAATAAAATTGTTAAGTTTTTTCAATAACAAATTAACAAGAAACCTAGCACCATATCAAAATTATCAAACGGTTCTCTGCAAGAAGGCATTAAATCAAAATAGCAATTTGTTACGCAACTCTGGTTTTTCAAATTACTAGTGGTTTGAAACTGCCAATTCAGATATAACCTCTAGTCTGCTTACAATGTGATATTACAAGAACTGAAATAATTTTAGCAAATGAGTTAAACTCGTCACAGGCACAGATGCATAGCTTTGACAGCATCCAAGCACAAGGAAGACAAGTCTCAATATCATAAGAATAACACCAGCACAATCACAACATCAACAATCACCATGACTGCAGTTTGATAAAACAGCTACAACTATGACCATGACAGCATATGACCATTTCATCAAATCTAAATTGTTGTCAGATGCAGGGTGAAGCAAAAGTTACTTATGCAACGTAAAGAACCAGTTTTGCTTATTGCTCTGTACTTGTACAAAAGCTACTAGATACTGAGAAATTGGAGAGAAAGCTACCAAAAGAGTAGAAAAAATTTTCTGAGAATCACCTTTGGCCCTAAATCATGATAAAACAGTAGACTGAATGTCTAACTTTTTACCCAAAAAATAAATAAAAAATCAGTCTTCACAAAAAGAACTGCTTGAAGATATGATTATAAAATTAAAAAGAAAGCAAAGGGGGGAAAGTCAAGAAAACTGATTAATTGATTAATAAGTTTGATATATACTGTTAACTTTTTACCCCCAAATCAGCTCCTTTAAGAATCTTTTTGAAGAAAAAGTGATTTTACTATTTCCAATTTCACAATTAAGAACTTTTCTTTCCCTTTTTCCTTCCGCAAGTTCCAGCTAATTGACTTGTCTGGTAAGACTCAAGAGTCAACAAACTCAAGATCCGAATTCCAATTCCTCTTACTTTTCATTTGCACCGTTTTTAAGCAACCAAACAAGAACACAAAGAACCGAATAACAAAACCACTAAATTAAACAGTTTCAACTACAAAATATTCCACTTTTTGTTTCACTCATTCTCCTTAACATTCTCAAGGCCAAGAAAAGCACACGAAATCACAAATTCCAAATTCGTTCGGTTTCCATCAAATTTCTCGGCAACCAATCAAGAAACCAAAACTCACAAGCATAATTGAACAACAGCACCAAAAAGCCGAAGCTCCCAACGTAGATGCGCACATACAACATTAGAGTAACATTCGTGTATACGCGTGTTTTACCTGAACCGCAGCGGGCTGTACTCGCAACTCGGCGGAGACGATGGCAGTAGCGGCGGCGTTGACGGTCTCGACGCTGTCGTTGATGCTTCTCATCTTCGATACTCCGGCATGAAACGTTGCGTTGGTAGCATCAGGATCGCCGGCCTTGATCTCCGGCGGGAATCAGGGCATCGTGGAGGAAGTTGGGAGGAGGAGGAGAGAGGGAGGACTTGAAAATGTCGTTTCTTTAAACCAATCCATACTTGGATCAGTTAAGCATTTTTATTTTATTTTATTTTTTTTTTTTTGGGGTTTCGTCCGGTTCAGTTTTTCCTCTACGGTTTCTATTTATTTTGCACCGAGTTATTGCCACGTGAGCTTGAAAATGACGAACGGGACCCACCTCCCTCCATTAAATTTCTAAGAGCAAACTGTTGGTGTGTGGTCCCTCATCTATTAAGATAGCTTAAATTATATCCTAAGCTATTAAGAAAGGCAATGCTATAATTACAATACAAATAATTTTATGTGGTATTTAATGAAATATGATATAATATTAAAAGTATATACACAGACAATATTATGAGTAAACTTTTGAATAAAAAAAGTTAATTATATAATAACACATCATATTATACGCTTATAATACCCTGTGATATTGTAACTATAACATTTTCGATTAAAAAAACTTAAATTAATTCAATCTGGATTGGTTCAATTTATTTATTTATTTTTTGTATGGCTAATGATAGGTTACACAATAGAAATAACATTACTACTTTTATAAATCTTCTTGGTATAGGACTTATAACTTAAAGTCTCAAGTTCTTATATATTTAAATATTTTCTGTAAAGCATTTTGATTAAACAATTATTTCAGTTTTTTAGTAGAACAACTGTAAATTATCATTAAAATATCAATTAAATGTCTTTCTCTAATAACGATGATAAATACTAAAATAATTTTATTCATGAATTCAATATATTAATTTTCACTACACTAGCAAGTAGTATCTCTTACGGACAAAAAAAAAAGGTAAAATTTATGAGTTCTACATAGGATTCTACATTGATAACTACATTTGGAACAATTAATAAAAAAAAATGTAAACTTAGTGACGAGGATTGAAAGGTTATAGACATAAGAACATAATTCTTAAAAGATTGAGGACTAGCCATGTCCATTTATCTTACTTTTTAATTGCTAATTAATCATTTGATCTTTAGAAGCCTATAAAGATTTTTTATGATCAATTGGATTTTGACGCAATTATTGTGTTGGGGTTACACAAAAGAAGAACGAATGATGGGAAGAGTTGAAAGACGGAATTGCCCTCGGAGTTTAATGGAATTTAAAATGACTGCCCTACATGCAGTAAAGGCAGGAAAGAGAAAGAAAAGAGAAAAAATGGGTGGGGACTGCGGGGAGAGGGGTGTGTGTGTGTGTGCGGCGTGTGATGCTTGTGCGGTGTCAGTTCAAGAAGCATGACAATCGTGACTCCATTTGGTACCACGGCTCCACCTGCGCTCTTGTGGGCCTAAATTAATTCCCAAATTCTATTCTAATTAAGCAAAACAGAAAAATGATGTGGAGCACAAATTGTACATCTTGTAATAATTGATAAATGGTAAATTCTTGAATATTAAGATAACTATTTTACTAATAGTTATAACATATACCATTTGAATAAAATAAATTATAAAACAATTATCATTAGTCAAAATTGTATAATAAAATAATTTTTTTATATTTTCTCTTATTTAATCTATCTTTACAGTCACAACTTAAATTCAAAATTTTTTAATTTTATTAAAAGATGATTATTATAAACCCACTCAAGCCTTAGAAGCATATTTTAACCTTATCAATTGAACTAACTAATAATTACTTATCACATTTATGGATGAATCCAACCTTATAAACTTGCAATATATTCAAATTTGAAATGTGTTGATACAAGAAAAATTGGGGACCAATTTTATTTGTTTGATGTCATTTTCATCAATGAACATTGATTGTATTGTATTGCAACTGTCACATTAGGGGAAGGGAAAAAAACATTGGTAAAAAGGAAAGAACCAAAAGTGCTCAAAGGGTGTTGATTTGAGGTGAGGGTGGGTAAAAAATATTTAAAAAAAAAAAGGAGTTAGAGGGGCAAAACGAGAAAAAGGACAAAAGGAGTTACCTGGGAACACGGGAAGTGAGACGTCAAAGGAGTGCACGTGTGCACAGCCACTTGTTGCGTGGAGAAAGCAACTCAAAGCATTTTTTTTTTTTTTTTTTTCATTTCTGTCATTTTTTTTTTTTTTTCTCTCTTTTTCCTTTCCCTCCGTTAATCCTTTTCTTTTCCTTTTTGATAACGATTCCACAACCACTCTCCTTCATTTCACTTTCCCTCCTCCAAAAGTCCCTTTTCATGTTCTTGCCTTTTATCAATGCCTTTCTCTTTTATGTTTTTTTGTCCTAAGTAGAATTTATCATCATGATTCACCTCTTTTTAATATCTTTGTTTATGTTACACATTTATAATTAGTCTTTCTAGTCTAACAGTTTATGAGCTAAGGGTAACGTTTGAGGTCCTTTGAATGTTGAATTTAGTCCGTGATAATTCCATCCTTTCAATTCATTCCCTTTGTGATATTGGTCTTTTTTTAATAATAAATAAATATTTACACTATCTACTTAGGATATGATGATACTTGATTAAATTGCAAAAGGCTAGTATTTAGTGCTCATATGAATTAATTACTCAAATATAGTTAATAATCAATAATTGATAAAAAAATAATAATAATAACTTCTTTCTTTTTTATGGTAAAAAGAAACTTTTCAAAGTCTTAATTAATCAATATCTAACATATTTTCATATTTCTTTTTTAGTTATTTGGAAATAAACAACTATTAGTTGCTTCTTAACAATTAAAATAAACAACTATTAAAGTAATTTGACTGACTCAACTATAACATCAGCTATATTGAAAAAAAAAAAAATTGGATAATCTTTGAAACCCTAGTATATTAAGGTTAAAAGAGGATTAAAATAAAAGGGTTTGATGAGGACCCATTATTTTGGACTTATTACCCATTTTTACCTTAAGTTATTTCATTTCGTTATTAATGTTTAACATGTTAATTAATTTCCCTATACTAATCCTTACAAAAATTACCCTACTAATCCGTGCATGACAGTGATGGAGTCTATATGGTCAATATTTACCCAACAATCATTCATGTGTTTATTAACTTTCTTACTAAAACTTTTTGTGTCCTTTTTTTTTTTATTTTAGAAAAATTATTTAATATACAAAAAGGAAATCATGTTTCCCTTTATTCTCTCATGTATTTTAATTAGATGATATGGGTGATCATAAAAGTTTCAACTTATTAGATGATCCACTTTTCTAGTTCCACCCGTGTACCACATAAAAGGCCAAAGCATCACAAAAGTAACAAGAAAAATATAATACAATGGGTCCATTGAGTGACACTTATTTGAATTTAACATCCCCAATTAATCTTGGCACAGAAGCTAGGAAAAGAAAAAAGAATCATCAAATCTCATGCTGTATATATCACATATTGTATTGCCAACAAAAATTTTGTCTAGAGATCGAAAAAAAAGTCACTATTTAATGTTATTCAAAATTCTAAATTTGAATAATTTTTTAGACAAATTTAGAAAAGAAAGAGCATATAAGTAATAAAAATATTAAGGGAATTTTTAATTTATATCTTAAAAACACATGTTAAGAATAAATTTATTGTATATTTTTACCATTAATTATATAAAAAAATAAAAATTGATTTTAATTTTATAAATCATCCATATAAATTAATGATAAAAATACAAAAAATACTTTATTAATCTATATCTTAAGAATATAAATTAAAAAAATCCAAATATAAAAAACTGATATGGGAAAGTTTGTTAATCTCCGCTATTGATGGGTCGACTAGGGATATTTTAGGCTGTGATGACCCTCTAAGGGGGGTATTTTGGAGGGGATGTGGTCCTACAAGGCAAAAGCTAAAGAAACACACCACATGTTTGAAGCTATCAAGTAGGTGGGAGGATTGGTCCAAAATTTAAAACTCTTTTAACTTTCTTTTATAGAAAAATTCTTCTAGCACGCTTCCATCAAGACCATCCTTCGCCATGTCCTCTTTCCAAATTAATAAATGCATGCACATCAATTCTTCTTCATATGCATCCCCTCCTTTTCCCTTATTAATTTTATATACGTACAATCTGTGTCTTGACATTTGTGGGTCAGTTTCCCTTCACAAACATCATTCATGCACTTCATTTGGACATTTTTATTTATATTATAAGAATAAATGTTAAATTTCTATCCCCTTAGGAAGCAAACCTTTAGATTTGAAACTTCGAAGTTCCATATTTCAAGCTCAAACAGTCCAACTCTATATCCAATAAACAAAATGTCACTTATTTACCAATATATCAAATATTTGATGTTGGACTAGATTCCTTCTTATGTAGTAGAGAAGATTCATGACTGAAAGGGCATGAAATTGGTTTCAGGTAAAAAACAGCCCTCAACTTTATAGATTGGCCCAAATTTGCTGTGAGGCAGCCCAGGTAATATTTAAGGTCTTTTTGAATGTGAGGAAAGACGGACCTGTTCCTGGGCCTGACTATGGAGGTCAGGACATTATTGAGGATATTTTTTAGATCCATGAAAAAGACTAGAGCAATCTTTACTCCAAAAACCAGACTGAACCATCTTCAAATGACCACAGCCATGGCCGTAGCTTCGGCTTCCCCTATCTCTGCAACAAAGTTCTTCCCTTCATCATATGCACGCACTAAACCGGTCTGCTGCTCTCTATCTTCTTCTGTTTCATACCTCCAAACCCCAAAACTTTATTTCTCTGCAGGGTGTCCTCAATTGGGTCTCACTCTTTGTTCTCAATGGATTGGTTCAAAGCATCTGGGCATCTCATCCACGCTAAAAGCTCTTAAATTTGGTAATTTTCTTATCTTGGTTTCTGAATTCGACCTCATTTTGATGATATGTGTCGATTTATGTATACATATATATATTGAAATGGGTGGTGATGCAGGGAGGAAGAGAAGGTGTAAAAGTAGGGTGGTTTATGCATCTTTGTTTGGGGTTGGAGCTCCTGAGGCTCTGGTTATTGGGGTGGTTGCTCTGTTGGTTTTTGGCCCCAAGGGTCTGGCTGAGGTAAGTTGTGCATTTATGCAGCTGAGAACTGGATGCATAGCTTATTGGCATGATTGCTGTGGGCTTGACTTTGGTAGGAGATTGTTTTACTTCCTCATTTTATTGCCTATAACATTGAATGGAATTGTAGACTAGACTGTTTGTTTCATGTGTATATGTATGTATCTAATCCCACTTTAGGCTCCTCTTTTTTTTTTTTTTTCTTTGAGGAGAGAGATAGTTTCAATCTCTTAATAATTTGTCCTCTTTCCATTTATTTTAGAAAATGAATTCAATATAATTTGTTTTCACTTCCTAATGTTTACCCATTGAAAATAATCTTGAATGTGCCTTTGGCTGAAATAAAACTGAGGTTATTGTGTTGCCATACTCCATGCTCCATCATCCCCTGAATGGTTTGCTAATTTTCTGTACCTCCTGGATGACTGCAAATCTATTGTAATCTGACTTGTGAGACCTTTTATTTTTTATTTTTTATTTTTTTTTTTATGAATAGACTCATGAGAGGTAAATGATAGTTTGATACCCAGATAAGTAGACATTGGCTATCTCTGTGTGTTTATTTATGATTGTATTCTCCTTGTTTTAAAAAATGCCCTTTTGGCATCTTAAGTGGCTTGTTAATGCAGGTTGCTCGGAATCTTGGGAAGGCTTTGCGAGCATTTCAACCCACAATTAGAGAACTTCAGGTTGGGACTTGAAACAACTGGTTTTACTTACATCTTCACCACTTTTGAATAAGGCTTGGCTATTCTTAGTGCTTTTCCTTATTATTTCTCCGCAAGGATGTTTCAAGGGAATTTAAGAGCACTCTTGAACGGGAGATTGGTCTAGATGAAATTTCAAGTTCAACACAAACCACATACAGAACTAACTCTACCTCAGCCCCTTCATCATCTCCAACCACCAGCAACTCTGGAACGGTGGCTGACCCAAGTGAGTAATTAAGCATCTCCAGCATCTAAATTCTTATATTGAAAGCTACGACCAATCTTGATATGTCTTTGGTTTTGCATCCTTCACTATCACAAGATGAGTACTTAGTGTTGGTCAATCAGCCTTTTAGTGGTTTTATGAGCTATTGAGAGGAGAAATTAGATAGAAACTAAGATAATTGTGAAGTGAAAGCGCTTGATCTCTCATAAGATCAGTGAAGATGAGCATGAAGATGGAAAAAGTAAAAGACAGAGATGTCAGATTGGATTGTTAGATATTTGCATATGAGAGTGAAAATGGCAAAGATGACTCTAGATCTTTAAATTTACAAGGACCCTTGTTTAATTAGATTTCATTTGTTGATATGTCCACTTGGATAGATTTGATTCAATGTGTGCTAATGTTCTGGTTAAAATTTGCATATCCTAAGAATTTGATGATTTAGAAGGCAAAGAAGGATAAAAAATTGTATTTGGAACTTTAATGTGATTAACAAATACAAGAACAACAGTAGTTTGTCCACAATTTTATTCCTTAGGTATAACCTTACCTTCCTGTTAAGAGCAAAATGAAGTTTGATTGAACTTGTGATTTATCTTTAATTGCAGCTGATGCTTCATCCCCAAATAGAGCTTATACCACTGAAGAGTACTTAAAGATCACAGAAGAGCAACTAAAAGCATCGGCTTTCCAACAGCAGGAGCAAACACCTTCTCCTGAAGTAAGCCAGTTAAAACCTGAAACTCAACCTAAAGGTACGCCAACATCTTTTACCTTAATTCGTTGCTGAAATTGTTAGTAGCCACCTTCACTCTCTCTTTCTCTAACATCATTTACACAAATTGTTATTAGCCACTGTCAAAGAAACTGCTGCAGCAGCATCTCAGAAGCCTGAAATTGAGACCAAAAATCCTACGCTATGAAGTCCATGACAAGCCATCTAATGTATCGAAGGCCTGAGAGCAGGGTATGAGAGATAAAGAAGTGCAGAATTCTTCCTATTTCCTTCCAAATTTTAGCGTCCAAATTGAATAGAGTTTTAACAAATCTGTTATGACCAGGTTACAATGTGGGTAATCTTTGAATTCATTGTAGAATTTGATGCTCTTTTTCTATGGGAAAATGCCCGGTTTTGGGAAGTAATGCTAATAATCTTTTGCTATTCTCTGGCAGAATTAAATATGCAACGTCATTTTGGTTATAATAAAAAAATAATTTACAAAATTGCAGGACAAGAATTTTATGGATTGTATTACAACAAATTCAATGATCTGTGAGGTTCAAAATCTAGGAACTCTCCGTTTGGCTGGCCAGCATACCCATACATATCAAACACTCTCTCTTCTGGAGGCAGGTTTCTGCCTTCTTGATTCAAGCCATGGACACCTGCATTCTGCGGTGAATTTCCAGCGTGCCTTCTGTTGGAGGTGTTGGCTGTTGTCAGAGAGAGAGGAGCTGATTGCTGTTGTTGCATCTGCTGCTGGTTCTTTATAGGTGACTTGGGACGCAGAGATTCTATTTCAGGGGTGGTCTTCACTAGATGAGGTGCATCCGGAGGTGGATTTCGTCCTCCCCCACCTTGCCAAACCTTCCCATCCTTGTCAGCAAAGTTTCGGACATATGCCTACAGGATACCACATTTCTGTTAAGTGATTTTCAACAATATACTAATTGCAGGAACGCAGACAGTCCCATTAAGAATTCTAAATTTACAAGTCTTGGTTCCCTCTATAAGCACAATGTAATCCAAGACTTGTCAAACTGGATCAGGATCTAGTCATCTGAATGATGACTAGGAAGGGAATCTTCCATTCTTTCTAGTAAATTACTATAAGGGACTCTTCAGTTATTGGATACCTAAATCTACAGAAAGGCAATGGCTTGACAATTCCTATAAATTTGTTTCAAGATGAAAGTCATACCTCAGCATTAAAATTGGACGAGGATAGTCCTTGACCAACTGTGAGCCAACCAGATCGAATATTGTGGTCCTCACCAAAGAGCTCAAGCCTTCTACGGCCAAGGGCAAAATGCTCAATTATACGATACATATCTTCAGGCTTTTGAGTTGAACCTGCAGTCACATTAACATTTGGAATATTAGATCAATTCACCCCATGTTGCAAAAGCATTGTATTGGAAGACAAAACATAATAATTGCACCTAAAGCAAGGTGTGATTAATGCCCCTAACACCCCATCTTTCCACAGCATAACATGCCAAAATGAATTTTTTTTCCCACCTTGGCGGTGTTCTCTAAAGTCTTTCTTTATCAAAATGAACTCTACAATTATACATATGATTCAGTTTCACAATTATAATATCCATACGCTGTTAGGTGGGGCTGACACAAACACAAAGTTATAAATCTGAAGATGAATATAAGTACTAACCATAAGCAGGTTCCTCTGCAATAATAACATCAGTGTCAATGTTGGCATGAATTATATGGCCATCAGTACTACGACGAACAGTTCCTTTTATACCCATCAAGCAGTGTTCCTTCATTTAAAAAGTGAGGAACAGTTCAGAAAATAGGAATTGCATTTGTAGATGACTCAATGAACGAATGAGAAATTGTAGAAATCCACAACTTGGAACAAACATCATTTCATACCTTTGAGTGCTGAAATATAGTATGAGAATCATGTCTTAACCCTGGAGTTGCATTATTTTTGTTTGTCTTCACCCAACATATATCCTCACATCTTCGGAATCCCCACTGCATTGCTCAAGAAAAAGAACAACCGAAAAATATAGAATGAAAGAGGACACTGAAACCATAATTCTACCACAGCAAAAGAGAAGAATCTTATTCAAATTAAATGTTCCACTACCTTCTTTAAGCATTGGCGGCCTTGCTCAAGGCCCACACCATCACCCACCCAAAGGAAGATAAAAGAAGGTGTATCTGCTATTGCCTATAAAAAGAAGGCAAAAAGAGGAAAAGTTCAAGTTAGTGCTCTTGTAAGATTCAAAAAGAACATACAATCTTTCAGTTGCTTTGGGTGGGAGGGTGCATACAACCCACAAAAGCTTTGACATCCATCCACTTAGTAAAGCCTTCAACTGAACCCAAATGTGTTTTTCATGTAATAAAGGGATTGAGGCAACGGCAACAAAAGAGAATTGTATGCTTATATTTCTACCAAACAGCAGCAGAAAAAGTTGTAAAAACAAATTACCTCAATCTTGAGATTCATTATCTCTTCAAATGTCCAGTACTCAATATGATCAGCAACACCAGGAGCCCGATGAACATACTCCTCCCAGGGTGGGTCTACAAGAATAACATCAAACTTGGTCCCAAAGAATTCTGGAGATAGTTCAAACTCATGAAGATCGCATTTGAAATACATGGCAGGAGAAGCAGCTTTAGCAACAATTTCATCTTTTTTCTGTATAAGCTCCCTAAGCTTGGGGTAGTCCTCCACAACATTTGTAAGCTCCAATTCTCGGATGAAATTCTGGGGTCGCATGCCAGTGTCTACAAAATTTTGCGAGTAATCATTTTGCTCTCCTCTGGAAGGAGCTCTACCAGAAGGTCCACCTGTCCTTGAAGGAGTCCAACCACCCGGTGACTTTTCAGGTGGTGCTCCCCGTCCCATAGGCCCTGCAGCATTAAAACCAGTCCCAGATATGTTTGGAGGTCCTCTTCCAGGACCTGTTTGGTTGAAGTACATACCAGGGTTTGGTGGAGTTCCCATATTAGAAGGAAACCTTGGGCCAGATGGCCCAGGAGGAACAGGAGATAACCCAGGTGGAACACCCATCATATTCATATCAACACCTCGAGGCCCAGGCCAAACAACAGAAGGAGAAAATGGTGGAATGAAGACACCTGGAGAGATTGGAGGACCAGGAGCAGGTGACATACTAGGGTTGAGTGGCTGCATTGGTCCAGGTGGTGGCATTCCAAGATGTGGAAAAGGTGATCCAATCATAGGGACTGGGATAGCAACCTGTTGGTTGTCTCTCCCACTAGGTCTGCTCCTTCCTCCTCTTCCTGTCCTACTCGCTTTCACACCCTGTAGGGGAAATCTGCCAAAAGCTCCTGGATCCTGGTTTCCATAAGGAGGCTGAGAAGCACCAGCAGAGTTTTGCCCACCAGCACCTCGGCCTGGCATAACAATTTTCTGCCCCCTTCCTTTCCCTCCACCATTATCAAATTCATCACTAAAAGAGGTTGGATCCCGGATTGAAGTGCCATCTTCCATATATTTGTCCCTTGAATCTTCACCAGAACCATATGTTTCAGTTCTTCTTGCTCTATCTTCTCGCATGTTTACCCTTTCTTCCTCATTTGGAGCCAACTTCTCTGATTGCTGACCAACTTCAGTTCTCCTAGAAAAGTTGGAACCAGATTCCGCTCTTCCATAATCAAGAGGCTTGGTTTGGATCTCAATCACGTCATAATTCTCATTGGAAATTCCAAATTTTGACGATGTTTTCACAGCTTCACCTCTGCTCCCATCTTTCCTACCACCTGACCGACCATGAGGTCTTTCATTGTCATTCCTTTCACGGCCATGCCTCGGCAACTCCCAGTCTCTGCCACGATCATAAATGATCTCTGCATCTTTTGACTCTTTATCATTATTGCTCAGTTGCCTCCTTTTCCAGTTTTCTTTAGAGCCTTCCCGATCCCTAACCCTGTCATTCCAGCTATCCTCTCTGCTTTTCAATCTTTCATCCCTGTGGCCATCCTTTTCTAGTTCTTTCTGAGTGACATCAAGGCTCCTTTCTGGGGTCCTTGACCTGTCTGTGTGCCTTTCTTCTCTTGCACTTTTATCCCTCGTCCATGTACCTGTGTCATCTAAATTGGAAGTCCTTTCCTGGCTGTCAGCAACATCACGAACAGCGGGAGTTCTATGCTGTCTATGCTTCTCAATTTTCTCCCTGCCTGTTCTTTCCTCACGATTAACTGGACTACTCATATTATCTTCTTCAAAATCTTCTGACCGGCCTTTGCTCTTACTCTTCTCAGAATCAACCCTTCTCTCTTCTCTACTGCTGGATTTGATAGCCGTATCAATATTTGACTCCAGCCCCCTGCTTTTACTCTCACTGGGTTCATTTCTTGCAGATGTACTTCTCTCTCTACCACTCTCATACTTAAAATCAGACGCCTTTCCACTTCTCTGGTCGGCCCTTTCATAATGATTGTCTTCAGCTTTCTTTGTGGCATCAGATTCATCCCACCTTCTTCTCGAGTTTCTTGCTGATTCAGAAGACCCATGACCCTTGTCACGGCTGCTTTCTCTCCTTTCTGAGTACCTGGACTCTCTCTCTGATGACTTTTCAAGCTCCCCATCATGGGACCTTTCTTCTTTGCTTTTACTTCCACGAGAGCTTTCATGCTCTGGAAATTTCGAAGTCATTTTCCTTCTCTCGCTTTCATCAGCCCGACCATGCCCTTTACTTCCTGTTTTATCTCCACCTTCTTGCCTGTTTTCAATATCTCCATCCTCATACCAACTGCTCAATTTTTCTAAGGAACTCTCCTCTTGCTTTTTTTTCATCTGCTTCGAACGCAACTCCTTTCTCGTGTCATAATCATCTTCATCACTGTCTACTCTGCTAGACCCAGTTGACCTCTTACGGCTCTCATTCCTGTCCCCAGAACCTCTCCGTCTTCCACTGCCATCTAACCCTTCAGCCTCTTCTCCATTGCTAGGCCTTTTAGACTTGCTTGACCTATGCTTCCTCTTATCACTTCCTTCCCATTCTTCATCATCCCCAGCCCTATCACTTTTCACATCTGAACTATCATCCCTATCCCGTCTAGCATAACTCCGACCACGCTCAGGTGAATCCATCAAAAGCCTCAAACCCTTTAATAGTCTATGGGGTCAAATGCCAAACACTTTGATATACCTTATTACTCTACGAACAGACCATCCCAACCTCCTAAACCTCCCGTAAAGAAAGAATTAAGTGAATCACGGACAAAAAAACTCTTTCTTTCTAAACAAGCTAAAGTATCAAAAATTTTCCCCTCTCATAAAGGACCCAAAAACCCTAAACTTCCAAATTTCCCGGTTTCAGAATCCTCTAGCAGTTGCTGATGTTTTTGGAATCACAGAACTTCGAGTACTGCAGAAAAATCAAGCGACGAGCTTTCAATGTAATAATTTATGATACAAATCAAAGATCAACTCAAAATCGCACCACTATTATCAGAATGCTGTTTCATGCTGTATGAATTACAGACTGTAATACACTAAAACTCCACCGAGAACCTTCGCGTGGAAGTATCGAAGCAAAAGAAAGGGAGCTGAAGAGCGGCATACCTAACAGTCAGAGGCGGCCGGCTGGGAACTGCTCTACAACTCAAAATTGGCAAACCCTAGCCAACGGCGAAGAAGCCATTCCTCTTTCGTCGCTTCTGTATTTCCTGAAGTTCTCGTCTCCCAGTATTTAGGCCTGTGGATTTTGGGCTTTGTTTGGACCTTACTTCCTTAGGCAGCAGACTTAGGTTGCCTTTG